CCGCCCCCCCCCCGTCTCCCCCTCTCCCCCACGCATCGCTCGCACGCTGGGGCACCGGAGCCCTGCGCTTCCTTCCCACCCAGAGCTGGAACACGGCGAACAGCTGATTGGCGGCATTCCAGCTCGGGGAGGGAATGCAAATCAGCAGGTTCGTAGCCCTGCAAAAGTGCTGGGAGGGAGGGGGAGCAGGGCGGGCGGGGCGCCAGTGCCCCAGTGCTCGAGAGCTGGGTGTGGGAGGGGAGCAGACAGCAGTGCGGGGGGGGGGGGCCGGGGGGAGCCCGTGTGGGCCAGCTAATTGCCCACCACTGCTACAGATTGTAACCTCTTCGGGGCAGGGGCTTACTGTCTATCGCCTTCCTGTGCAACCGTGACGCCCTGCTATCCTTTTCCTTCCCGCGCCTTCTGGCAGGGCTGCTCAAAGCCATTTCGCCACCGCTGACTTTTAATGGAACACTGGGCTTTAGAGGAGACAAGATTTTTGGGGGGGGATCAGTTACTCAGCGTCTTTGCTTTGCAAGGAAAATTCCAGAGGCACCTCCAAGAAACCGAACGTGCTTCGCAGGATTGTGCCCCAAACTCCGTGGGCTCCTGGTGCTATCACAAGACTCCGAACAACCAAAGGCCAGCTGGTCGGTCGGGTGTGGGCCTGGTGATTCAGTATATAGAACAAGGCCCTCAGTGCGTCCCTTTGCAGGCTGTGTTAATATCCGCACACGACCCACATGGGCCGCGCTCTGCTACTGGGGACAGGCTCTGGGGATACTTACATCCTTAAACACTTATCTTTCCCTCCGCTCGCCACTCGCTGTCCGTCGGGGCTCCAATCCACTGCAAACACCTGCCACCAAAGAGAGACACACTCCTGTCACAGGGGTGGGGGTGGGCTCTCCTTCGCCCCGCTGGCAGGGAAGAACTTCAGCTTTTCGGACAGTGGTGGTGGCCACAGCGCTTGCGGGGTGGGTGAGCGTGAGCCCCGGGGTGAATGGCCTCCTACCTCGTCGGCGTGGCCGGGGAGATCAATGGCCAGCTTCCTCGTCTTGGTGTCCCAGACCTTCAGTGTGCTGTCACTGCTCCCGCTCACCAGCAGGCGGCTGTCAGCCGACCAGGCGATCTGGTAAACGGCAGCGACGTGCCCTCTCAGGGAGGTGAGGTACCTGAGAGAGAGAAAGGGGTGAGGTGGGGCTGTTTGAAACATGAACATGCTCTGAGAGATAAAGGGACATGCCCAAGGTTACAGCTAGTCAGTGGCAGGGTGCAGAGTCCAAGTGCCTTGCCCTAGCTACTAGGTGCGCTAGCTCAAAAGCAGAAGGGTACGAGTGCACGTGCATGAGTGCGAGTACACGAGTGTGAGTCCACATGCACACACGCACGAGTGAGAGTCCACACTCTCTGTGAGTAAAAGGGTTCTGCCTCAGACATGGCAAGGCAGTGGGCGAATTTCTGCACGGGCTGACCTGCAAACGTCGCGTCTAACAGCCCAGGAGAACCTACTTTCCTGTCCTGCCATCCCAGAGCTTGATGGACTTGTCAAAGGAGGCGCTGGCGATTATCCGGGTGTCCGGGGAGAAGAGCACGTGGTTGATCAGCGCCTGGTGGCC